TTATGTATGATATAACTGATATTCTACTTGCTTCTATGCAGAATATAGGCATATATATCGTATAAATGTGGGTGAGCTGTGTACCCTCTATGATATTCAAATAAAACATTAATTTATCATAAAAATTTATAAATATTGTAGAACATATATACTGTATATATATGTATATAAATATTTACTTATAGGTTTGTTTAGCCTTGTTTTGTTAAAACATGGAAACTGTAAATTGGAGTAAAACTGAAGAGCACTTACGTAAAGTTGAGGATTATGTGGTTAATTAAGCTGTGGTGTGTGTGTGTGTGACTAAGACGTCATTGGATGTTTTGAGAACAGTCTCTGAAACTGTAAAACATTTTCTCATTCACTTAACAGGGAAATGTTTTAATTATGACCGGATGGTCAACATGTCAGATTGTTATTGCTGGTGTAATTTGGTGAAGTAGATCTTTGCCGCAACATTTAGATATTCTTGACAATTTCTCCATCTCTCCATAGCATATCACACACATCCATCAAACCATGTCATTTGCTGGCTTGTTAACAACACCGGAGGTGAGGAGCAGTGACACTTCATCTAAATCTCAAGAAAATGTTGTTTCCTTGTTAGTCATTGTTTTCTCACTCTATTTTTGACCTTCGGTTGCTGGCTATTCTGGACTGATTTATTTTACTGTCAATCTCCTGTCACTTCTGATTTGGACTGGAAGGTCTCATCTCAGCAGTCTTTGCCCTTGCTCATTCCTCCGAATGTTAAGATTTACACTCTCAAAGTTGCTGCCATTTTTGTGGCCGTGTCATGCCACGGTAACAATTTACAATATTACCTCAATGTAGCCTACTTAGTTGTGAGTCACATGTAGGCTTACACTGCTATATTATTCAAGTTTTACACTGAATATAGCTTTTAGAGGAATAGGTCACATTATTATGTGCAAATTATACCAAACCCAAGTTGTTTTGCAGGTTATTTTGAAGGAAAATTCTTCCTAATACTTACATATACTTAAAATATAAAGGCACATATTAAAACAAAAAGAAATATATTAAGTAAAGCTGACAAGGACAATCCAGCCTGAAGGAGCACAACAATGTTTCATATTTTCTGATAATTTTATTTTAAGTAAAATACCACCTATTCTGTTTGTTGTATTGATTTCATGACATGTTCCTTGGAAGCAGGTCACACAGTAGACTGACACTGACCTAAAGTCACCTTCCTTCACATCATGCATTATGGTGAATGTGGGACAGAGAGGTCACCGTGGTACCGAGGTCGGTGAGTCTGGCTCTCACGTGCACCGTGCAGCCATGGCTTCCCCAATCCTCTTACAACCCCCCACTTCTTACAGCACTCAGGCCAGACTATAAGATCAGCTTGCTGTGGTCAGGTCTTATCCCGAAGATACAGTAGATCCTCAGCACAGAGTCACGCCAGCAGGTATCAAACACCACAGCTAATACGCTCACCTCTGTGTGTGCCCATTAGGTCTGTTTGCTTTAAGATGCATTCACTGGCATGTCCTCTAAAGGGAATTATTTACATATAGTTCCTATAGTTGGTTTTAAAATTTTATAAACTTAAAGCCAAATATCAGTAAGCCAGGATTTGTTTCAAGGTCAGATGTAATCTCACCTCTGTGACATCACATAGATAATGCAGAGTGTGAGCCAAACTATTATTATAGTCAACACTACTTCTAAAGCACTCAAGTGCTCACCCAGAAATGTTTTGTTTAAACAAATAGAAGAGTATTTAAAGCTAAAAGTATCAGTCAATAAATGGATCAGTAACTGTTTTGATGCAAAATTAATTGTTAAACTCGTGTTTTAAGAAGAAATGCAAAACATCTGATGATTCCAGATGTTAAATTGCGAGGATTTCACTATATGACCTTGGGTTATGGTAAATGCTAATACACATTAGACCAAACAATTAATTAATTTAGTGAAACAAAATCTATAGATGTATAAATAATATAAATTTACAGCTCTAAAAGTAACCAAAGGTATTTTTATGTTTCTGTAAACCTTAATACTTGGATGGGGCCCTGTAACACTGTGAAAGGCAGAAGCATCCATGGCGTGCGAGCAGTCAGGAAGACATTTTAGTCATTTTACTCCCGTTATAGATCCAAAAAATAACACTGTTTTGGATAATACGCGTTGGTACTTTTGTCCATGTTTTCTTTTGCTTTATCAGTTCAGTACCAGGGTGAAATGTGGGAGTCCCTGTCTTTGACGTCACTAACACAACCTATCCCAGGCAGATTTTATACAGTGTGTTTTTTTTTCCTCCTTTTTCTTGGCGTCCTGTGGAAGAGCGGATGGGAAATTCTGATGTCATCAACCTTGGCACAGCGGGACAGAGGAGCATGCAGACCCTCAGGGTGCCACGATTGGTGCCCATGTGTTTGTGCCCCGTAGATGGTGAAATAGATGGTGTGGTGCTGCCCGCCTGTGCTGCACCTGCGTCCCAGCATGCTGATTGATCAGTTTGGTCATGTGGAATGTCACCATCTGCTCCCCAGTCCCACTCACCCCTTCTTGTGTGAATGCCAATCACTGGCAGGAAGATAGTTATTTAAGCCATGTCAAATCAGGCGCATGACGATGAGCAATATGCCAACAACACTTGAAATGTGTGTTGCAGGCGTAGTATGCACAACAGCATATCTTACAGTAAAAGGACAACCATGACTTCAGACTGCAAAGGGGTATATACTTGGCCGTATCAATATGGGTTTTTTTCCCCTTACAGAATATAATCAGATTTTCTGCCCCTCACTAATATATTCTGCAAAAATTGAATGTGACAACTGACGGCTGCAATGGTGGCGTGAGTTTGTTTTTATTTGTTTGCATAAAAAGTCTGCATTTCCTTTCTTTTATTTTGAGTACAGCTCCATTTATTTCTTCTCCTTCCCCTTCAGTTGCTCTTTTTTGGCCTCTTAATGGCCAACAACCTATCAGGGGGCCATCAGGAGTGACATTCTTCATTGTAGAGCGTCATAACCAATGACATTTCAACCATGGGAAAATAAAGATATGCAAATTTGAACTCATTAACATTTGCATTACCTGTTTGAATAATCGCACTCCTGACAAGACTGCAATTAACTAAGATTGATGCAAAGTTCAGGGTTAGGGGACTGTATATATTTGCTCTTGGATCATTTACCAAAGATGTGTATGTGTGTGTTTGTGTGTATATGTGTGTGTTATGCATACTTAGTGTGTCAGATAAAAGAACTGATCTCTGTCAGAGGAAAAGGTCATTCAGTAGCCACTGATCTTGAATCTTTAATTTTGTTATTCATTTTTGGCTTAAGACACTGAGAACATTTCTTTATAACCTGAATTTTAACTTAATGAAAAATCATCTTATTCCTATTAAAAAAGAAGGAAAGGTCAACAAATGATTGTTCCAAAAAGACTGACCTCCTAACCCAGTTAACACTAGCGTGGCTAGTTGGGATTAGACATTGACTTTAAGGAAGCTGAGCAGACTCAGCTCACCTTTAGACAGATTGAAACAAGCTGACAGTAGTGTGCTTTCTGCTCTCAGATCAGTTTGTCACATGTCTCCTTATTATGCCCCTGTTGCTTAAATGACAGCTCTCACTTTCAGTTATGTACAAAAACATTTTTTTACTTTCCACATTTTTTTTTTACTTCAATAGATGTTTTGGAAAGATTTCAAATTGTTGTTAGTTTAGCCACATTCCTCATAGACACCATCCCCTCTGGCTTCGGGGTAAACTCTTGAAGGTTAGTAAGACAATGTGTTTAAGATAAAGACTGTGGTGCTGTCCAAGTGGGAACTATTTGATTGGATTCTTGTGAGGTCTCTTTAGGACAAAATGCTTTGCCAGGACAGTGTGGCACACTGCAGGTCGCAGCATCCTGCCAACTGCAGTGTTTTTCTCCTCACTGGTGAATTGTATTTATGTAACATACAGAGAATACTGCACCAAATACAGCAGGTCAGCTCCTTTTACTGTTTTCTCTCTCTATTCTAGCTGTTGAAGTATTTTAATATGTAATTTAAACATATCTAATATGAGCAGTTCAGGTGGTTGACTCTCTGATGGAAGTTTATGAAGAAATGATTCAGAAATCATAAATCTGAGTGGTTTGTTTACACATGCAGGAGGTCACTCTCAATGTCAGCACCGGGGCAGCAGACAGTGGATTTTACCTCACACAGGAAGTCTGACTGTTTAGGTGTTTTGCTTTATCAGTTCACCCAGACAGACTACTGTATAAATAAACTTTAACCCAGCCACTGGAGGAGCTTGCCACGCCGCACGTGCCTACAAACTAAGACTTTGTTCTATTTGTAAATGTAGGGCAGACAGGGGTGTGGTATCCTCTGTTTACTGGAACCCTCTACCTGTCTAACAGGAGATAATCTTCATGGCGTCATCACTGCTCGCTGGTCTTGAGGAGGGATTTCTGAGTTTGCTTGCATATGATTTTACACTAACATAGGATGTCACAGGAAAAGGATGACAGCTGAACAACAAAATGTATAACCCACACTGGTGATGCATTTTTCCCTCTCTTTGCTTTGGTGTGGTCAAGGTGTTTGGTCATGCATGGGTGGGGAATTCCCTGATTATTACAAGTTTCAGTTATTTTTATGATGCCATTTTGCACAAACTGGCTTTTTAACAGTCAACACACACTAATTACACTAATTACTTCAGCTATACTATGTTTATTAAATAACTGAATTGTTTCTAATACAATACAATAATAGTCTGGACCAGGCTTGTAGTACAGTAATAGCATCAACCATTGGCCACCCCCTCTCTGCTGCCTGGAATGGTCCAGCCCTTATTTGCATAAGTTGTCTGCGGGTAGCTGCATGACCAGCAGGGGTAGGTTAGGGGAAGGAGTGCATGTGGACTACATACACATGAGTATAGACACAGAGAGACGAGCTGTGTGTGGACTGTATCGTGAGCCTGGAGTCTTGCACTGAACTAAACAGAGTTATGTATTGTGCTCATCCTGTCTCCGGCACAGGCAACAACTCATTGATGTATTGCTACAACATGAAACCAGTGAGTATATATATATACATATATATATATATATTTCTGTTTGATTTCCCAGAGCATTCATGGCACTGTCAGTGTGTTTGGTGATGATGCTGTTGCACTCTTTACTTGTCTTCTCAGATGTTCTGTTTGTTTGTTGACTTGCACTAGTTTCCAGCTTTATCTGTTTGCAGTGGATGAACAGTGTGATCCCTAACTGACATTATCCTAAAGTTGCACCAGTAAGAAATGGGTTCACACGTGCAACCTGTATAAAAGTCAAGAGTATTATAATTCAAGATGTTCTAATTTGGATTTAACTTTTGAGTGAGGCATTTTAGAGCGGATGGTTCCCTCTCTGAACACATTTGTTGGGATGTAAGGTTGTTTTCATGTGGCTGCTTTGCATGCGTGTGCTTTACTGTGTGAGTGAGAGACAGAGGGAGAGAGAGGGTTTTGTGTTTCGGAGAGATCATGTCTGTAGTTTGGGCTGAATGTGTCACTTCCTTGAAGAGTTGTGTACATGATATGAAGCATATTCTTGTTTGAACTTCAGTGGTTGCAACCTACAACTTGAGTTAATGCAAGAACAAAGAGTTTTCTTTGAGTTAATGTGTCACTTGGTTGTTTGTTTAGTTCCCCATTAACAGCATTTAGTTCACATAATTGATCTGACAATAAAAATCACAATTACGCACAAATCACACAACTTATAACAACTCACCATGCATGGCACCTAAAATAATGTTCAGTTAGTATAACACCTCACTCACTTTTGGTTTCATGTTGACAAACTCTGTTAAAATGCACCGGTGAGACTCATGCTTCCTGTTAAGCTAAGCACCATGTAGTCAAGCCTAGCAGCAGAAAACATCTTGACATGAAGCAGATTGCTGTTATTTCTATTTGATTTAACTCTGCTATGTTGGAGCAGTCCCTCCACCGCTGCAGCCATTATCAAAGGCAGCTTTGATCTTTGTGAGACTAACCATATCCAGACATCGTGGATCACAGAGGCAGAAAATTGGTTGCATGTGGCTGGAGCTGGCCATGGTGGAGCACAGCATAGGCCCTGAATAGCAAGTTGATATTTCACTCATCTAGCATGATAATGCTGTGTGCATTTACAATGGGAAAAGCTTGTATCTCTTTCTCTTTTTTTGTATAATTTTGTGTCCCGTGTATGTATATGATGATTATGACTATATTTCTATACACTTTCTTTATAGCCTACTTGTCTACACATGCAGCTAAGTGGAGTGGATTGCTGACAATTTCACATTTCATTGTATTTAATATGCAATGACAATAAAGCCTCTAATCTAATCATAATGTATTTTTAGATTAAAATAACTTTGGAAATGCAAATTACACATTGACAAAAATGACACAGGTTCAAAATGATTATTTCAGGCACATATGCAGGTTTCATAGTATTTAAATTCTCTCTTAGTTACGGTCTTTATTTGCCCTTATCATTTGTGATGCCATGATTGATGGTTCCTAAATCAATGCTATGCTAAAGGAGGATTCCATGGTGACGGCCCCTCTCCAGCGGGGGCCAGAGAGGGCGTGCTGGGGCGGGGGTGTGACCATTATTAACGGGTCGCCTGCTATGCTGATGGTAAGGAGGACAATTGGCTTTATCCTCCGCCATATGCTGCCCATGGCGGCTCAGACGGGCCCAGTGTCGGCAGGGGCTCCTCTGTTTGGCCTAGCCCACAATCACCATGGGACTCATGCCAGCCAGGGTCACGGCTGCGTGTGTGTGTGTGCTTAAGTGCGTGAGTCTTTGTGTGTGTGTGTGTGTGTGTGTGTGAGCCTGCGAGTGTGCTTGCACGAGCATACTCAAGAGAGTCTTTAATAGCCTGCTTTACAGAACTTGTCGTCCGGGTAACTGACACCCCATTGATGCTGCGCAGGGAGGTTTATTTTCATTTCCTGGGGCACATCAAAGCAATCGAGGGAGGTGCAGGTGCAGCCCAGACCTCTTGGTGTGTTTGAGTGAGTGAGCATGTGTTGGTGTGTTTTGTGTGCATATGTGCATTTTCTAGCCTTGTGCTTTACAATTAAAAGGAAGGAAAAAAAATGAACCAAAGGTGCCTTTAGATGAATGTGAGCTCTGTTTTCTATTTACAATATTTTATTTCCTACAGAAGGGGCTCATTAGGGTAAGACTCTATGTTTGGTTTGGAGGACAAGTATGAGTAGGCCTGTAATTTAATTTTATTTGGATGGTGAATCGTATCCCAGTCTTCTGAAGCCAGCCGAACCTGATCATGATTAGGGCAGGGATTTCTCATGGTGAATGGTTCCTAAATCCGGATGAGGAGGTGCATGGATCTGCAGCTTATGGATTATCGCAATAGCTCTAAGTGTGCATCAGCTCTCTGCTTTGTTTTCGTAATACTGTTGCTTCAGCTCGCACTCACAGTATTCATGCATTTGTGGCAGTAAGATTGGTTTGAGTGATACAGTCTCTCTTCTGATACAGAAAATAATTTATGTTTTGTGTTTGTGTGCATTATGTTATGATTCAAGGTTGTTTTCCCAACAATTCCTTAAACAAGCTCTTTCCTTTAGGTTTATGGGCAGTCTCCCACTAATGACGACATCAACCAGAACTCATCTTCACATCCGTCCATCAAGGCCCCCAGCAATGTGTTCGCAAGCACCTTCTTTGGTGAGCTCAAACAATCCAAAATGAACATGATTATCCATTGCCATTCTAGTAGTATAACCAAAACAGCCATCTAGTTCAAGTTTAATTAACCTTATGAACACACCAACCGACTGCTTTGTCTGCTTAGATTTCTAAATGGGGAAATGTTAAAATATAATATAAAAATGTTCAGAACTCAGGTCAGCTGTGTTGGCCTTCTTTTAGTGTATACTCCATGTTCAAGGTTGAATTGATTCATCCATAAAATCATAGAAACTGCAGTGCCCCTATCCTAATCAAACAATGCTGATTGCAGAGCATAAGAAATAAATACACATAAAATAAAGCATTAGATAACAAGAACCACAAGGTTTATTCCACAATAAAAACTATTCAATAAGAGTGTCTACAGCCAGTATAGCAGTTAAGTCTGAATATTATCAGTTTTGTAAGTGATTTTGACCTGATGATGCCACTAGATAAAAAGCCAGAGGTTATTCAATTCATTTCAAAATTCTGTGCCAAATTTAATTGGAATCCATCCAATAGTTACATTTCAGACATTTCACTTAAAACCACAAATGTAAACCCAATGATCACCATACTCAGTCAGATTCATCCTCTGGGAACTGTGAATGTCTGTAAAGCAAAGTTTCATGGAAGTCCATCCAATAGTTTTTGAGACATTTAAGTGTTGGGTTTAAAACCATTCCAACAATGGCATAAATTATATGTCGTTTTTCCACAGTTATTTTTTCATTTTCTAAGTGAAATGCAGCGCACATAATCAGTGGTGGATTTGATGTTGAGCCTAGTATAAACAAAACTGAGCTATTTATGACAATAGTTTGACATAAATCTAACAAATGTTAGCTAATGCTTGCAAGTGGCATCACCAAAAAGAAGCCAAACATTCATACAGTCCGAAGAACCCCAAAACATGCACTAGAACTTCTCCTGACCCAGTGACTCTGAGCACGTATTAACTTTCAAATATTGGTAATTTGTAAATACTAAGAAATTATATTGCAAAAGAAACAACATTATCACTGATAGTTATAATATGTGTTAAAAATAAAATTCAATCTTCCTCTGGCCTTGACAACAGCCTTACCTTAGAATGAGTCATTATTATCTACAGTGAGTGGGTGGGTCCTCTTCTATGGAGTCATGTTGAACCACTGGCTCTAGATGGGGCTTTTTCCTACACTCTTGTAAGGCAAGCGGTTTTCATTTGGTTGCAATCTGCAACTTCACCGCTAGGTGTCACTAAATCCTACACACTGGTCCTTTAAGACTGCATTACAATTTCACTTAACTTATCATATTTAATATTAAATAATGATTTAATAAGCCTTTAAAAACTGTGCATTCCCTGTGATTCTCAGATCTCAGCTCAATATTGTCACATGACTTCTATAAATGAACATTGTCCAGACATTGATTGAGTGATAGGGCTTCATTGTTTCAAAAGAGGCTGCTGTACAGCTTCATGACTTGACTGGCTGCTTGAGATGCTGTTCCAGTACAGGCTATAACATATCGTTATCCATTTCAGAGGGGACAAGCAATTCGCCCGACATCTGGAATGCTGTAAATGGACTGAACCAGCAGGGCTATGAAGGTGCACTGGGAGCAGCCACAACCCACCAAACACAGCCGGGGAATTACAGCAACCTGCAACCGCCACACAATCACCTGGTGAGATTTACCTCCAGGACCTTGGATGTTGACAGCACAGCACTTTTTAACCCCTGTGGATTAAATGCGTGTTTGTTTACTGTTCAGGACTACTCCCCGCATTCTGTGATGGCTGCTGATATGAACAGGGGCCTCCCACCAATGTCCACATTTCACCGCAACAATACAGCACCACGCACTCCATCAATCAACACCTCAGAGAATTCAACAGGTGAGGAAAATGGAGAAAATGTTTTTTCAGATGAGGTTTGTCTGCTCTTTATTGTAATATTTTACAATGGGTGTTCTTTTTTTCAGTCTCAGGGAGCCAGAGAAATGTGTCAGGAGGGTCACAAACAGGCGATACCTTGGGCAAAGCTCTGGCCTCTGTAAGTATGCACCACCTTAATCCCATTAGACCGGCTCATCTATGCCGTGTTATGTTCAAACGGTCAGACTAGAGCATAAAAACCAAGCCCTGAAAGCCCCATCGGTATAATGCAGAAGGAAAATAGTTGTTTGTCGATGCCAGTCACAGACTAGTGCATATTAATGAAAGGCTACTCTCATGCTGCTAGACTTTTTATTGGCTACTGACTAGTAAAATGACCAGAATTGATGAGTTTAGTTCAGGTTACGAGCCTGCTCCAAAGGCTGTGGCAGCAGCTATAAAACCTTACGCAGAAATGACAAGTTGTGCTTTTAAAATGATCCATGTCCTACTCACACTCCTGCCCCTCCTTCTCTCTGTCTGTTACCAGATTTATTCCCCCGATCACACCAGCAGCAGCTTCCCCTCCAGTTCATCCACACCAGTGAGGTCTCCGTCCCCGATGCCGAACGCAGCTGAACCTGCAGGTAAACTGGACACATGCTGCTATAGCGGCTGCCCAGAGTGAAATATTATTTATTCTGTATATCTCAACCCCTTCCTGGTCTAAATTGGTTGTGTTTCTTCCTCTCAGGTACCAACATGTGGCCCCGGAGTTCAGTTCAGGCACCAGTCTCACCACACTATGAGTCTTCACTTATATCACTGGTAAAGACCTGATGTTATATGTATGTTTTTATTGTGTCATATAAGAGATAAATAAATGAAAAAAATCAACACTGATGAGCAAATACCAAAAAGAATATTAAAGAGCAAAAATAACCAAACAAATATGTGCCTTCAAAGTATATTTAAACAACGATAAATAGTAAAATACTGTATATATAAGCATTAGTATGCATACATACCTGGAAATAATTAGACCATTAATATTAAATGGCTTTGCTTAATATACCAGTTCAGTGTTCGCAGTAGAAGAGAGTAGCTCAACAACAGACATCCAGTAGAGACTGTAAACGGCTACAAATGAGGGAAAACCGGAAAAAAGCACACCACACACTTATGGTTTGCACTGTGCATAAAGCGTGTGGCCTAAATTTTGCCTGAAATTACAGAGACCTCAAAGGTTATTTGCTTTCTTGCAGAGAGTTAGCTGACAGCTATTTCCCAAAATATTAAACTATTCCTTTAAGGTTTAAAGGGAAAATGTTGACCTTTTCTTGACTGTTTTTGTCAAAACTTTGTGCAGAAAACTGCAGTTTTTTGTTGTCTCCTGACTGACGAATGCCAGAAAAAAAAATGTAAAAACTAACAATTTTAACTTTTGTCTCTTGGTGTTTGCAGTCTCAGGTGGAGGACCGACTGGACAGACTGGATGATGTGATCCACGTCCTGAGGAACCACGCTGTGGGCCCCACGTCTGGTCTGCCTTCTGACATCCACGGCCTGCTGAACCAGACCCACCAGGGCCACCCGGGATCTGCCAGCACTCTACCGCTCACCTGTCACACTCCAGCCATGGTTAACAACCATTTCTTTGAAGTATTTAGAGAAGAACAGGGCAGTGTGTATGGAAATGTGTGTACAGTATGTGTGTGTGCTGGTACTCAGTTTCAGGAATTTTCCACCCACTATGTCTGCATGTTTTCCTCATGTAAAGGTTGTTGTCCTTGAAATAGGAAACTGAGCACAATGGGGAAAGCGCGTCGCCCTTGTATGGAGAGCGTACAGTATGTGCAGACTCTAATTCCACTCTGGGGTGATGGGGGACGCCTGCATCGCGCACTCCCATTCCAGCATGTTTCGCTTTCAGCAGACCAGGGGATTTTGGCCCAGCTGGAGTGGAAGTATATGCAGGGGAAAGGGGTTTTTAGTCTAATCCTTTGGGGGAGGGGGGTATTAAATTCTCTCACTTTTATTTTTCAAAATGATGTGTCCGTTAGACATGAATCATTCCTGAAGAGAATTAGTGGTATGTTTAGGGAGTATATGGTAGTTTTAAGGGAAGGATTAAGATTGTCTGAGATTAAATTAATTCTGTAGAGGGAGAGATCTACCCAGTGTTACGTCGGAAATGAGGGGGCAGATGTTGTGTTTGTGACTTAATTGTCAGTGGTTGGATCCAAGAGTTGTATGGGACTGATCTAGGCTTGTTGTCTTGTGAGCGCATGAATATTGCCCGAGTCTCATCCCATTCTTTTTGTGTCGTAAAGGTTGAAGCTGTCAGTATGAACAACAACCACTCAGCCTTCCAGAGCCGCACACAAAATGGCCACCCTTACCCAGCCAGGCAGAGGACCACGCTTCAGTCCATGCAAAGTGGAGGCAGAGGCGAGTCATTACTCTCATCTATCTGCGGCTACATTCATATATTTCACCTCCTTTATTTACACTTTTGAATCTTGGAACTATTAGGACTCAAGAGAAGTCACAGTTTTAATGTTTTTTAATTATTTTCTGTGCTCTCCCACAGGAGGTCCAGGAGTTCAGGGTAATCTGGAGCTGAAGATGGAGAGCGCGGAAAGGGAAGAGATGATGCACACCAATCACAGTCACAGCTCTGACAGCCAGAGATCAGATGAGGAGAGTGAGCACAAAACACAAGGAGAAATCAGTGGAGGGAACAGGTAAACAGTCCCACTTTCCTGTGTCCCTCTAAACAGAACAAACCTGGTGTTTAAAACCAGCTGCTGAATGTGACTGTCAAAGAAAAACTGCCTCATTGTGCTGAAAGGTTTGCAGTGTGCATGATTAATAATCTGCAATGAAAAAACTGAATGCACGGTAGCACAGCAGATTTCTAAACAATAGTCCCTCACTCAAAGGCAAGTGTTAGAGGCTTCTTGCTATTCAGTTTCACTAATTTAAAATACTGTCAGCCCCCCTGCAGTGAAGGACAGCTGTGTCCAGGCAAGTCTATTCAGCGCTGCCTCATATTTCTTCTTCATGTTGCATTAAGTTACAGTAAATTAAATGAGGAAAAAAGAGGATCTGCCAGGACATACAGTAAATGGTTAAGACATCAGTGATAGAAAGGTGTGTTTTCTAGTGGGGTTATCAAAAAATCCCTAAAACATAAGGCGGCACAAATGAGTGAGTATTTTTTTTTTTTTACAGTATTCTGTACTCGGTAGCTAAAAAATACAGAGTAAGATACAGAATAGCCTGAGATTTGAATGCACTTATAATATAATATATTATATTATATTATATATATATAATATAATTTATAACTATCTGCAACTAATATATTACAACTTATTTTCATTATAACATCAACAACATCTTTATTAATTAATACGTTTTTCTCAATTAATTTTTTAATCCTTAAAATCGAAAAAAAAAATAATTAAAACGAAAACATTATTAATCATTAATTATTAATCATTTATAAAAATAGTTGCTGATTAATTTTCTGTTAATCAACAATCAGTTAATCAACAGATTGATTCAGCTCTATTTGTGACAATGGACTTAATCATTTATGAGGACGGCAAATAAAAATGTGGATCTATAAAGTCAGTGTTAGTGATTTAAAACCATCCTGTACATCTCGAAAACCTCACAGATGAATTAGATGTCGTTTGTCTCATAGGTCACTTCAGGACAGACCTCTTCATGACATCAGCTCTGATGCCCGAGTGCATGTTTTCTTTTTTATGTAGATCTATAATCTAGTTGAGGGATATCGATGTTGACATATGTGGATGACCCTCCAGCAACAATTTTACCACCGGACATATTTGTTAGTTTTTAGTTTCTTATTCAAACTGAGTGACACAATGACTGAAAACAATTGTTCAAATGTGATCCTCTCTTGATTGTCAGTGGTTATTGACTGAGTAGGGATTTTCTAAAAAAAAAAATAATAAAATGCTCTCATGGATTAATTATTCATAAACATGGGCCTGATCACATGATCGTGTTGTCAGTGTACTATGTAAGCCCTTTTCACAGAACAAATGAGTGTATATCAGATGACATCAGGAGAGCTCAGTGACCAGCAGAGGGCAGAGAAATCCACAGTATAACTCAACACAGCCTGTCTGTGACCCACTGAAGCTTTCATTTAGATCCACTTCAGATTTCTGTCCACATAAGTACCGCCACTTCTGGTGAGCATGGCTGTACCCACCATTGAGATCACAGAGGTCATGACCATGGTATTTTTTCCAATAAAAGTCGTTGACGTATCCCCCCAATAGACAAGAAAACAGCACTGAAAATGTCTTTGTTAAAATGGATTAAAAACAGCCAAAGAATTAGGGTTAGGGTTTTGTTGTATTCAGGGTTAGGGTTGTGCTGAATTAGGGTATTGGCACCTGTTTTTTGGAGGGGGGGGGTTTTAATAATATAAATCTGTAATTTTAAAAGATTCACACAATAAATTATATCCTTACCAGCGTGTTCTTATACCTTGTTGATGTTGTAGTATCCATGAGGATGAGGACCTGAGCCCGGAACAGAAGGCCGAACGTGAGCGCGAGAGGAGGATGGCCAACAACGCCCGTGAACGTCTGCGTGTGCGGGACATCAACGAGGCTTTCAAGGAGCTGGGTCACATGTGTCAGCTGCACCTGAAGAGTGAGAAGCCACAGACCAAACTGCTGGTGCTGCACCAGGCCGTAGCAGTGATCCTCAGCCTGGAACAACAAGTCAGAGGTCAGTGCCTCGCTGCTGCAGGCTGTATGTCCTCTCTGATGATCCCACCTCTGAGGGGGGTGAAATAAATATCTCTCTGTCAAGTCAAATAAGTAAAAGAGAGAGTGGAAATATGATAGAGACCTATAACTAGGGGTTGGCAGTTAGAGTTCATACAGACTCTAAACAGGATTTTTATCTACTTACCCACATTTTAATTTGTTTGCTTTGCTTCTCTTTTTTATGAAGTTAAATGCATTCATTGATTGAGTCCAATACTCGCTCTCTTTTAGTTTCAGTGTCTACTGAGCAGCTAAATGCTCCACTATGTTCTTCTGCTACTTTATTTGTCTGCTGTTTGGTGGGCAGGTAGTAGTGTTGCCAGAGCATTTTCACTAAAAAAAGCTGCCTGCTGCGGCCGTAAACTACTGTACACTGGTGAGAGAAAACATGAAAGTTGCAAAGGCTAAAATGAAAAATATGAGCTAAAGGTTGCTAAAAAGCTCCACAGAGCTGAGAGGAGGTAAAAATGTAGTGTAGTGATTTGATCCATTATTAACTTATTGAAGCAGCTTTAAAGCCTCTATGAGCAGACTTAAAAAATACACCTTTGCTAACAGCAGGGCACTTTATTTGCCACAACAATAATTAGTAATACACTAAGATTAATAATGGCAGAAAAATCAGCAGTCAAGGCAGAATTCATGAGGTATTTTCCATCGGTTTCCTCAGAACTGAAATACCTGGATTTGCATTACACAGGGAATAGAAACAAATAACATCCCAGTACTACCACATATCTTCAGTTTCTTTGTTTAGTCAACATTAACCCACTGTTTGTCGAATCCCGCAGAGAGGAACCTGAATCCGAAGGCAGCGTGTCTGCGGAGGAGAGAGGAAGAGAAGGCGTCTGCAGTCATGACGGATCCACAGTCCATGCATCTGGCTTTCCATCCCAGTCTGACGGACCCAGCCAACCCCATGGGCCACCTCTGAGCATCTGATAATGACTACATCAAATCCAACATCAAGTATGTAATATCAACTTATGCATATGTGTTCATATGTGACAAATATGTTAAAGATATGGTTGGAAAGCTTTTATGAGATATAAATGTAGATATTTAAAACAAATTTCTCAACATTAATTAGTCATATTTATATTTAGTCTCTCATTTTGTCGTTATATCTGACGTCACTTTGTCTTTTATGTCCAGATATTGAGTGAAGAGCATCTCAGCAGCATCCAGCTGTTTTTGGAGGTCCAGCGTTTCGTCTGAATTCGAAACCAAACCAGCGAAGAGGTCGACCTCTCTGTTTGTAAAGTGTGATGCAGTCGAACAATCATCTCCTCACTCCCTGAACGGACTTTCTAACTTTGTGCCTAAACTTTACTTGTAACAGACAAATGCATTGTAAGCTGCAGATGTTTTGTACATATTTTGTATATTTATTGATTATCTGTCTGTTTGAATATATCTGAGAGGATGAAACCCGGTAGTGACAAGGTGTCATCTGCAAAGCTAGATATGTTTCTGACTGACTTTTACAGTGTATCACTATTTACCACGTACACTCGTGATTTCCACCGAGCTCAGAGGACTGACATTCCCACATTTGTGTGTTCAGACAGCGGATTTCATTTGTCCTGTGTGTGTGTGTTGCAGGAGTTTGACCATTCTGTGAATGAACAGATCTCCGAGAATGTTCTTTAACATGTGGGCATCATCTGTTATTTGTACAGTATATTTGTGTTATAGCACCATTAACAAGATTACACTTAATGATACACTGATGGACAGGATCCCTCTTCTTCTCAGTGTGATTATTGCTCTTCAGATGTAGTCGAAAGCTCTTTGCATGTTTGAGTTTTTAATAGAAGATTTCAGCTTTTCTAAGTTATGTAACTTATCTTTTATACAAATATTGTGAATTTCATAATGTCTCTATTTACTTTTGTCACTCTGATTTTACACGAGAAAACCCTTTTTGTGCAGTTTTACTAGGCGTAGTCAACATTTCATGCTCTGAGCAATACAGTATTACAGAATAATTGATGTCTTGTTTGCTTATCACACTGCTGAACAAATAATAAATAATAATCAAAAATAATCTGAAATACTCCTATCATAACATGTACAGTATGTGTACAGTTTGAAGTAGCCTACAGACATGTGTCAAAATGATAATGTAGCAATAAATGTCTTTTTTTTCAAATAGTTTGAGTCTGTGTGTTATGTAATATATTTTAGAAAATGTAAAGCACACACTTACCAAGCAAACAATGGTGTTAAATAGCACTAAAAGTGTTTCCTTGGCTCATAATCCCAGAGGAACAGCTTTTGGTGCTATAGCACTTATTTTTAAATGTGCTATATACAACCTTTAAAGATAGGTGCCATATAAGTGGTTCCCAACATGGGGGTCAGGACTGCCACTAGGGGTCACCAAAGCTTCTTGATTCAAAGGGGTGTAAGAAAACGTACTTTATAATGAGTCGTTTTTATCTACAGACCAAACACTGGCTGTAGATTGAGCCTTTCACTGTAGTTTCTACTACACACACAATAGAGACGCGAGGGGTGTTCAGTCAGTTGCAATCTGCAACTTCACCACTAGATGCCAATAAATCCTTCACACTGGTCCTTTAACTTTAACATTTTATCTAGTTTTAAAACCACTAGATGACTTTAAAGTTCTCCTCTGATGGTTCACAACATAAATCTAAGGGTTGTGATTTGATTAACGGGGTAATAAATACATTCTGGAGTAATTCTTGTGACTTTTTAAGTGTCTTTGCGTTTTAATATTGAATAATTTTACCTCTCTGAGCCTCTAGCAGTGATTTACAGTAAACCACGTGTGAAGTTTAGAGGCAAGGCAAATTTATTTATAAAGCACATTTCATACCCAAGGCAACCCAAAGTGCTTTACAGAGCTGAGGGGAAATGTCTGTTTGGTAGCTAGTTACTGCTAACAATAGTATTGTTCATTAAAGACACTTTTCCAGGTGTCCTTAAACTTTTATAGGAACTTTTAACCTCCTTTATCCCTCCAGCAGTCTTTGTTAGTCATAGTTCCCACAACACACAGTTCAGGACTTCATCATCAGAATATTACAGCGTGATAAATTGTCCTATTGTTCTCTTCATTATTAGTTTTACCATAAATTAATATATATTTGATTATACGAGGCCCTGAAGCAGCAGCAGTCATATGGTTTGAATATCTGACACGGAGGAGGCAGTGAACGCCTCTCCGAGCGGGACTGAGTGATCGCGTCCGGGCGGAGGTAGGACAGAGGAGGAGGAGGAAGACTCTGTTCAACACTCAGACAGGACACACAGCGGGTAAGTTTCAGCTCAGACCGATGTCTTTATAAACGATGTTTTCTTAAAATAAGAAATATTGCTTCTATAGCGACTTGTATTTTACTCATGCAGTCAAAGAGTGCAGCCTGTCTGCGGTGCTCTGTGGTGACTTCAGGGATCTTAATGTACTTTTTCTCCCCCACCTTCACTTTATCCGTTAGTTTGTCCTTCTTATAATACTTTAATGGGTCTTTATGTGCCTTCTTTTAATGTGCTTGTCTGTTTTTTATAATTATAACCTATTTGTTAAAAGTTGAACTGTGTGAGCTGTGAGTCCATCAAGTAAAACCGGATAAACGCAGATCCGCAGCCAAATTAATTTTCATATCCTTCTTGTAGGTTGTGTATGTGTGTGTGGGATTCACTGATGTACTGAAACAGTGAAACATGAATTTGACACGTTAAGACTGACGACTAAGATAAAAAGTGAGGAGCCAAAATAAAACATAAAAACTTTAGACAAATAGCTTATTTTACCACTTTCTAACATAGTACACTTATAAAGTGTTTATAAGCTGCACTGGTGTTATTAATGGTTAATACCTTAGATTTCACAGAGTATCATTTAGGTTGCCAGGTTGTGAAAAATGCTCCTCCAGTAAATGACATGTACTGTATTTTTAGCTAACTCCTTCAATTTGACCAACTATTTTTTGATAAGTCGCCAATGTTAATAACTTAATGTCATTAAAGTTTGTAATCCACATTATTATACTACTATTATTACTATTACTATATTTATACTATTAGTGTGGCTAAATGGATGTTGGTGGTCAAACAGTCCATTTGAGGGGACTTCCTCATGAATTTAAGAGTTTGCTACAAAGATAAAGTCATGCTGGAGGAAGATTTTCCACAACCTGGCAACCCAAAAGTTATTCTCATTAATGACTTACAATGGCTGATCCATAAAGTATTAGTAAATGGTTTATTAATGGTTAACAATGGTTCTGATTATTTATTAAAATTAATACTATAATCCTTATCTGTATTTATTTATATTTTAAAAAGTACTTTATTTTTATCTGATTTTTATGCACCAATGCACCAAGGCAAATTCCTTGTATGTGTAAAAACGTACTTATGATTGATTGATCATTGATAATGATTCTGATTCTGATTTAATTATAAATGAGCCGCAATCTTATCAGTTAAAGTGACCGCACTTAGGATGGTGCTCTGAAGAAGATACCGTTTTGTCTGCTGCACAACACCTCTTGTGTTCTTGTGTTTCAGCCTCACAGTAACACATTTGTTGACAAACGTTTTCCTCAAGTGTTACACCATGAAGTGGGTGACGACACCTCGGAGACCTCGGTCAGTTGTAGTCGTCATGCAGTTGGCTCAGCTTTGGCTGTACAATAGTACACTGTCATGAGCACACAGAAGGAGCTGTTTTCATTGCACAGCAATATCAGGCTCTTCTCAGTGTCCAATTATTCTGTCTTTTACGTCGACTGAGCGCAGCTGTATGAGGAGCTGCCTGGATGTCTGTCATTGTGTCCCAGTGTGTGCTCTGACCTTGCTCCAATGTTGTGTAAACACGAACCTCAGCCTGACCAACCTGATGCATCAGTCTTCAATTCCCATGCAGGATTTAACCTCCTTCAGTGTCATTTTTAACATACCGGTTTGTTTTTCCCCACCAGTTCACCTGTTAACCCTGCAGAGTCGCAATGGAGTCTCACAGACTGAGCTCCATGCAGCAACACAGTCCCAGAGGCAGCCGGGAGAGCTTGTTTGGAGTCAGGGTGCAGGTCCAAGGGATTAAAGGTCAACCGTACGTGGTTCTGAACAGTTCAGGCCAGGAGAGCCACCAGGACATCTCTGTCATCACTCACCAGGCGGGGTACAATCCAGGCATGGTCACGAGGTCTGCAGATGAAAGACACTCTCCGTCTGAGTCACAAAGGACTGCAACCTCCTCCGGGTTTCATTATCAGAAACACCCGGAGATTCTGAGACCTTACGACCCTGAAAGTAATAACCTGAACCTGGTCATTCCTTCAGCAGCTTCAGTCGCTCGACCTGGTCAGCTGAACGCCGGCCTACTTCCTGAGACAACCCAGACTGCTAATGTGAGCAAACCCAGGATCCCTCTGCCTGCTGAGGGCCCAGAGGGAGAACAGAGTGAGGTGGCCCAAAACAAGGCATCTCCTTTAAGTCGACAGCTCCCTGCAAGGTCCCCAAACTCAGTGGAGACAGACTCTATCTTATCTGTAGGGAAGCTAATAAGCCAGTTTAACAGCAGCCAGCGGAGGGGAAGGGGAGGCCCGAGGAACAGGTTGGACCCAGAGCAGTGTCGGAGGTCACGCAGCGTAGACAGTGGTCGAACTTCAGACTCCTCGTCCTCATCGTCTTCCTCCAGCAGAGCCTCATCTCTGAAGGGCATCAGGGGCAAGACTCCAGGTGGGATATATCCTCCCGGGTCAGCTAGGGCTCGACTCCTCAGCGGAGAGGCCTCTTTGGCAGGCAGGAGGGAGGAGAACAAGCCCAGCACACCGCTGAAAGCACAGAATGGAAAAGAGACGACATCTCCACAGACTCCAAAAGTAGGCCTACTTCAGAGAGCAGAGAAACGCTCCAGATCATGCAGTGACCAGACTGATGACTCTGATGAGAGAGATACACAGGTAAAAGGATTTACGCTAGGGAACAGTTGTAATTTAAAAGGATGTATTTATTTGCTGTATATTTCCTAACCAGGTAACTCCTGATCTTCTGAAAGGACAGCAGGAACTCTCAGTAGATCCACCTGAAGACGCAGCAAAACAAATACTCTTCACTTACCTCAAGGATGGGTAAGTGCCCCTCAGCACCAAGTGCTTTGGAAATATTAATTTGTTTTTTTTTGCAGAGAGTTAGATGAGAAGATTGACATCAGTCTCATGTCTGTACCTAGAATATAAAGGTACA